GACGATCCTGTGCGACCTCCCACCCTACGACCCCAGTTAGATGACATCAGCGAAGAGGAGGAAGTTAACTTTGATGGTTATGTAACGCGAGCAGGGCGTACAATTCACCGACCAGCTAAGTTCCTTGATCAAGTATTTTTCCTTTCATCCCCTGGGAGGGGGAGTTCTGTAGCGAGTAGATTATCCCAATAATATACTCGCTCCAAATATAGTGTTAATATTCCTGTCAACCTTTGGAGATGAATGAGGTGAGGCGTTGTCCGGGCAACACGGTGAGGTGTTGCCCGAGCAATATAAGCAGCGGTGTAGCGAACATTGGCTAGTCTACTTTCAAGTGTGGTCTAGAGCAGACACTTGCGAGATACTGTACCAACGCTCAGTGCGCTCAACTCACACCAACGTATCACCAGTGTACTTCTGTATATTCGACCAAATATATATATAGTATCTTAGTGTCTGTGTTTATTTGTCACCATACTTTACGTAACAATAGAACCGTTACAGCACCGTCGTCGTACAATATATCGTGAATTTCCTCCTCGGAGAGTCGTTTTCCATGACCACGGGTCGCCGTGGAACGGGAGCTCGTTGACGATGCGTCAGACATGGTTGCTGCTTGGGAACTGGGGCTCCCCACGGTGCCGGGGCATGTTGGGATTTTTTTTCAAGATGGCAGACAATCAATGGTGGTCCCAGCCATCCATTCCATACCCGCGTCACCGAGCGCCACTTTTAAATTGGACATGAAAAATACAAACACCGGGAGGCGCATTACGCACCCGAAGTCTGGCTGTATCAAACACCGGGAGGCGCATTACGCACCCGAAGTCTGGCTGTATCAAACACCGGGGAGGCGCATTACGCACCCGAAGTCTGGCTGTATCAAACACCGGGGAGGCGCATTACGCACCCGAAGTCTGGCTGTATCAAACACCGGGAGGCACATTACGCACCCAAAGGCTGGCTGTATCTTACTGGGGCTGGCTAGGGCTGGCCAGGTGTCTCCAGGGCTGGCTAGGGCTAGCCAGGGCTTGAAAAAGGCTCTACAGGGCTGGCCGAGGTTTGCCAGGACTGGCCGAGGCTCCCCAGGGCTAACCAAGGGTGTATACATATGCCTTGTTCTACATTTATTTGGAATACATGATTACTTTGAATAAATATAAAATAAATTTTAATTTGTGTTTATAAAATACTTTAATAAACATAAAATAATAATAAACAAAATTGACTCAAGAAAGTGGTAAACTGGAGTGCAGTGTTTGAGTCTGCAATTTATGGAAAATATTAAGTTTACATGCACTCGAGATACTCTACAATATATGGTGCAAACGAAAACTTAAATTAATAAAAGTACAAGCAAAAATAAACATGTTATTATCCATATATTACCACAGGAAAGTTAGAGTGGGTTGCACATGTTTGCATGATAGCTACTGCACCACTCTCGGAGGCGGGACCACATCACATCTGTATAAACCCAGTGAGCACAGTTGATTGCCAGCATCTGACACAGTGTACTGATTTTTGCTGAAATATGATACATTTCCAAATAAATTAAAAATCAGTCTATAATATTGTTGAAAAAACAATGCATATAAAAACATCATTTACCAAGGAAAATACTTGGATATTATGGGATTTGCTAATGAATTCCAATCTAGGAATCAATCGCCTATGACGGAATTGTACTGTGTTTGCATTGCCAAGATGAAAGATGTGCAAACATTTTCAATAAACTACTTGTAATATTATTTTTATAAAATAAAATTCTACAAAACAATTTATCTAATACAATTCATTGTCGTTGTCTATAATGAGATTTCAGCTTTTAAATATTCTAGTGTAGGTCAACTTGCACAGTTGAGCCCCCTAATCCAGTAAAGTGCACCCTGGATCTCAGAAGCCTTGTTCGCGTCTTATTTGGTTAAGTGTTGGTATTTGCATTCAATATTGAAAAAAGTTGCAACCCGAAGTAAAATCAACACCTTGATAGTCCCCCGAAGGAAGTCTAGGGAGTCATAATCCTGAACCTTTACATGTGTTTCTATAATTGTAATCCATCTTAGAATATTGATTTTATTATTGAGATGCACATGAATTATGCATTTTTCTGTACTAATTTACCTATGGAAAGGTTATTACATTTTTGGGTGAATCATAATTTTTTGGTGATTTCTGGGTGAATCAGCTGTCTCAATGAACAAAACCTGTTTACAAGTGTCTCTTAGAGAAGATTTTTTTTGTGCATGCATCCCATGCGTGTGGTATACATGCACATGCATGATTTCCCATCACAGAAAAGGAATGAGATGCACTTCTAAATAATACCATAACAAGTGCAGAATAAAGGATATAGCTTGCATCCCTTGGAAATTTCTCACATAAGGTTCAAAGGGTTCTAGTTGGGTAGTTTAGGGAGCCACAGAAAGGTCCTCCTATAGACAAACACTTCAACTGCTTTCCAAGGTGAAGTGTTCATCATACAGAGATGTTGGGTCTTTTGTTATCATCCTTTTGAACTCTGTTTTTAATGGTACTCCTGCTAGAAAATCTTTTACTGCGGTAGTCTTCTACTCTCTGATCCTTTCCAGGAACCAGTCATTCCTACTTCCACGACAGTCAATGCTACTACACAGAGATTGTTCATTCCAAGTTGGTCTTCTAATTTTATGCCTTATTTCTGACTTAGAGTGAATATCAGCATATGTCTGTTTCATCATTACTCCTTATTCTTGTGGGTTCCTTGGCTTAGAAAGTTTCTAACTCCTGCTAATAGGGTATGTGCTGAATCTCTAGGCACTAAGTTAATTTTTAATATATATGCTAGATTTGAATGTACAGCAGCCATTCTAGTTGCTTACCAAAGGAAAGTTTCCTCATTTGATTCATACCAAAACTTGGTACAAGAAAAATAATGAATCCCCTAGAGTACCAGTAACTTTCTTAAGTTTCCGATGACCAGCAACATTACTATAACCTGAGTCCCAAATCCCTTAGCAACTATAAATTATAAATTATTTCCATTTGAGAAAGACACTGAAAACTTCTTAGTGGCTAAATAAACAACAATACTTGAAGCGTATTTGTGTATTAAGAGAACAACCCTAGATACATCGAGTGATCAGTGAATGTGTATGGTTTCCTATAGTCAGGAACAAGACGTCACTTAAAATTAAAGGTCCCCTTAGACCAATTCCTGATTCTTTCCAGGATGCAACTCACAACAAGTGCATAACTCCTGGGTGACAATTTATTGCAAAGTGAACAATAAGTATTAGATAACAGGAAACATTGCCAAAGTAATTCCATACTACTGCAGGAACTGAACCTGTGACCATTTCACTGTAAAAAGAATTGTAAAATAACTTTGATATAATAATTAATGGGCCATAACTAAAGACCAAATATTTAACTTTATTCTACCTTTAATATTAACTTAAAATAAATACCAATAACAGCATTATTCACTTCCATCAAAACAACAGGAAATGAAAGTACCAATCACATTAATAATGGCTACTTCTATATCTGGTCACAAATAGGCCTATATGATTACACATATTAAATAGGCAATATTTAAACATAGACTATAACATTAAAATTAAATTCACTTCAATTAATAAGTAAGCACCCATATATATACAGTAACAGCTTATAAATACTGTAATTACATTACATAAATAATAGAAGAAAATTTGGCTTAGTCTTGGCCAACCACCATGAATGAAATGCTCAGAGGTTAATACAAATTTTGGTCAGAATAATGTCTGGTATAAAGAAATATAGTACTGGCACTCATGCATACACAACTCCCATATTCAGATTAATATGGGAGATACAGTATTATATTTATACCATTCTGATTTATATTGTAGATATTTTGTTGAACTCAAATTTTGCTACAATGTACCTAGTAATAATCTTACCTTATCTGTTAGATTAAGGACCTGCCTGAAGTGCTATGCGTGTTAGTGGCTTTGCAAAAATGTAAGAACACTAATGTTATGAACTTCCACAAACCCAATGTACTTTCTTGTATATAAATAAATAAATAAATAAATAAATAAATAAATATAAAAAATGCTAGTCAGGCTAATATAACTGATGAAATTTGGATAATATAAATGTCTTAGCTGAGCAAATATTGGCTAAATCTTGAAAATTTGGCATAAGTAAATGCAAGCCAAATAAAGATGACAGTGAGGTTTCCTTAATACTTCTAATCAATAGAAGTAAAATTAAAAAAAAAAATTATTATATGAAATATTAATATAGTATATGAAAACATTAAAACAGTAAGCATAATGATGAGTTTCTAATTCATGGATGATAAGCACTTTTTGTTGTTGTTATTAATACTCTGCTTAAATATTTAATAAAATGCTTATTAAATAAATGTCCTTTACCTATGGCTCCCAAAAGCTAAACTAGGTGTTACATTTTATATCTATTTCCTAATGGGTCTAAGTGGAATGCATTTTAATTTTAAATCATGATCTAAGTTTTGTTTTATCTTGCAAATAATTCAAAAGTATTTATTTACTTAAGGTGAATTTTGAGTATTTTTGCCATTACAGTTTCCCCGGTGTTTCCTTCAGTTATATGGTTACCAAATCTTTACTAAAGAACAGATGATTACAGTAATATATAACCTAAATACCATGTGCAAAGAAGTCTTGCCTTTATGGCCGAGCATATTTTTCATGTAAATCTATAAAAACAAACCAAAATACCTTTGCAAGACATTAAATGTATTTAATTTGCCATTTAATTAACATGCCATCCACATATGTAAATGTATGCAGATGGCTTGTTAATTTTAGGATGTTAATTTCCAAATAATATACAAATTAGTGAGAAGTTAGGGTCCTGATTTGCATCCATAGTGTTCTAAAATGAATGGCACTTAAGATTTATTCAACATAAACACCATTTGGAACTCTAAAATATTTCTTATTTTGAAATAATAAGATTATTTCTGACAAGACAGTACACAAGAACTAATGAGGTTTATCACCAGGATGTGTTAATATGTGAAGTATTATACTATTACGTTGCTTAAATTTTTTCCCACACTCAGAACATTCAAAAGGCATGCCATCAGAATGCAATACTAGGTGCCTCTTCATATTTCCAGGCTCATTGAATCTTTTCCCACACTCTGGACACATGTGAGGCTTAATACCTGAATGCACATTCCTGTGCTTCTTCACATTATTAAGACGAGTGAACTTTTTTCCACACTCTGGACACTCATGCAGTTTAGCACCTTTATGCATCTTCATGTGCTTTGTCATAGATGTAAGTTGAATGAATCTTTTCCCACACTGAGGACATTCATGACGTTTATCACCAACATGCACCAACATGTGAGTCTTCATACATTCAAGACGACCAAAGTTTTTCCCACACTCTGGACACTCGTGCAGTTTAATGCCCACATGCAACATCATATGCCTGCGTATAGATTGAACATGACTAAATTTTTTCCCACACTCTGGACACTCATGTGGCTTAATGCCTAAGTGCAGCATCATGTGACTTGTTAGGGATTCACGTAGACGGAATCTTTTCCCACACTCTGGACACTCATGCGGCTTAATACCCAAATGCAGCATCATGTGCCTTGTTAATGATTCTCGGTGTCTGAATCTTCTCCCACACACTGAACACTCAGGAGGTTTATCACCTGTATGCACCAACACATGAGACCTTAGAGTCACAAGATGACAGAAGATTTTCCCACACTCTGGACATTTATGAGGCTGATCACTCGCACTAGCCAAATGTTTCTTCAAAGATCCCGAACGGCTGAAGGTTTTCTCACACACTAGACATTGGTGAGGTTTCGTCATCTTTATGATTTGTAGTTTCCAAGAAGGTCATTTACTCCTGATGATTACAGTTGTTATTTTGTGACTTGACTGCTTCCTGGAGTCACTACACTTTCGCTGAGCGGGATAATTAAGCTTTCGTGTTGTTGTGTATCCGTGATGCTGGAAATTTTTGTGATTGTTGTTGTTGGAGCATCGGTCACTTAAGTTCCTGTGTTCATATTAACGTTTTCTTTATTATTTATATTTGGGTAAACTTTATTATAATTAAATATGTTTTCGATGTTTTTCATTTTTTATTTTATTTATATACTCTATCATCATACTATCATGCAAGAGGAGCCACACATCTATGGTTCATCCAATAAAATCAGCAGACTTCTAGATGTTACTACTGCTCGGCTTAGACTCGGCCACAAGCGGTCCATAGAATTACCCAAATCGGCCCAAAAGTACCCAAATCCTCCTAGCATTACGTAAGTAATGAAGAAATATGGTATATTTACTTACTATAATGTTGGTGCTACACGTAGAACATGATCAAACCTATTTTTACCCTGAAATAATCTAATTTCATAACGAAATTAGACGTAAATATGTGAGAGGTGACGCCATAGGAAGTCAACGGTCCAAGCCACAATTGTGTGGAGCGACTTATCCAAGTTATATGGTCGCCTGGAGAGTGTTTGCTGCCATATCAGCCTCCTGTACACAGTGATCCAGTCGTCGCATTTCATGGCTCAAATTGTCGCAAATTTAATTGGTGATATTAAGAAGTAGAATGTGTATTTATAATAATATCTTTCATAAACAGCCACTAAATCTTTAATATTTATTAAACAAAACGTGTCTGGAAGTTAAATCAACTCCACAGGACTGTAGCGAGTAGATTATCCCAATAATATACTCGCTCCAAATAGTGTTAATATTCCTGTCAACCTTTGGAGATGAATGAGGTGAGGCGTTGCCCGGGCAACACGGTGAGGTGTTGCCCGAGCAATATAAGCAGCGGTGTAGCGAACATTGGCTAGTCTACTTTCAAGTGTGGTCTAGAGCAGACACTTGCGAGATACTGTACCAACGCTCAGTGCGCTCAACTCACACCAACGTATCACCTGTGTACTTCTGTATATTCGACCAAATATATATATAGTATCTTAGTGTCTGTGTTTATTTGTCACCATACTTTACGTAACAATAGAACCGTTACATTGGTGACCCCAGAGAGTTTCGACGATACCCAGCCACGATGGACTACAACATGGACTCTCACGTACTGGACCTCCACTGCTGCTGCTTGCTGTGGAACGTTGCCAACACTCTTGCCGCAGCTATGATTTTCATCGCGATCATCTCTGCATTTTCATCTACTACGGCTTGCTGCTCCACGATCACTACTCACTCATCTGGCAGCTTCATCAGTAACTACATAATGTGGGATCTACATCCTGCCCTGCCGACTCTCCGTCGCTGCCAGGGCACTGCCTAGTGTTCTACAGGGACGCCCACGAAAGCTGCTCTTTCGTCAGATTCATCTACACGTTCACTGCATTTTGATACTCTGCCGGCTCAAGCCCTTTGCGCAGTACAGGACTTACAGCTTGCGTTTCCGACACTTCGTCGCCTCCAGGACAATTCAGCTCTAGCAGTGATTACCTCGTTGTCCTAACTACGTGCCTACATTACCTCCTAATGTCCTGGTGCCCGAGCCCATCCGCCCCGGATCTAAATGCTCCACCAGCGACCCAAGGACGCAACAATTATGCACATTCTTCTCTCCTGCTACACCGAGCTTGTCCACACACTGCCTACATCTTTTGGTACCAGACTACAATTTCCAGTCAACAATGTAGTACTCGGCGTGTACAGTCCTAATCAACCCAAGACGCTACAGCTTCGACACAGAGCAGACAGCAGACTACGACCGCATCGAGCCGCCACGCTCTCGCTCCCCGAGTTTAGACACTCACAAATCTCAATCGAGCCGCCACGCTCTCCCACATAGAGCTCCACGACTCCGGCCTCACTCAGCTCTCTGCTCTGCTCCAGGCTTCGTCTCAACGTCTGCGACACTGCTAAATCCAGAGACACATCCGCCGACTACGCAGTTCACTTTTCGACCACAGTTACCAGCAGCGCCGCCACCTACGACAAAGGATGATCCTGTACGACCTCCCACCCAAAGACCCCAGTTACCAGCCGCACCACAACCTGATCCTACGACGACGGACGATCCTGTGCGACCTCTCACCCTACGACCCCAGTTAGATGACATCAGCGAAGAGGAGGAAGTTAACTTTGATGGTTATGTAACGCGAGCAGGGCGTACAATTCACCGACCAGCTAAGTTCCTTGATCAAGTATTTTTCCTTTCATCCCCTGGGAGGGGGAGTTCTGTAGCGAGTAGATTATCCCAATAATATACTCCCTCCAAATAGTGTTAATATTCCTGTCAACCTTTGGAAATGAATGAGGTGAGGCGTTGCCCGGGCAACACGGTGAGGTGTTGCCCGAGCAATATAAGCAGCGGTGTAGCGAACATTGGCTAGTCTACTTTCAAGTGTGGTCTAGAGCAGACACTTGCGAGATAATGTACCGACGCTCAGTGCGCTCAACTCACACCAACGTATCACCTGTGTACTTCTGTATATTCGACCAAATATATATATAGTATCTTAGTGTCTGTGTTTATTTGTCACCATACTTTACGTAACAATAGAACCGTTACAGGACAATAAATTTGTTATATAGATACTAGCGTTATTCGTTGGTATGCGTTCGCTATTTAAACTGCTCATGTCCTTTTCGTTCATTGAACACCGAACCCTATACACGCCCTCTGATATATTGCTTAATTAACAAATATTCACAAATAAAGATTATATTTGTATATGTTATCAGAAAGGCAGATATAAAATAGTTTTTGTGAATCCATCACAGAGATTATACCTTATTAGAGAGGAAAAATATTCATACTTTAAACAAGGCTTCATGGCCGACGCTCTCCTTACCGATATGGGAACTACGACTTTTCGAAGATCAATGTTAATTTAATCTAGATATTGTAATTGTTATAACTGATATGAGTGGGGCTTCTATGGGGTACTGGTACTATTAAGGGGTAAAGGTAGTTAGAAGACAAGAGTATCAAATATGGGAGAGCTAAAAGGCCCGGCCCCCAAAATAAACTATCCACAGTAGTAATAACGTGCTACAAGACCATATATGTTAGTCTAAGGGTTGATCACTGCGCTCCCACCTTGGAAGAAGAGATACTCTGTAATTCATGTACTTATTTATTAACCCCTTAACAACCCCCCATATACACTCACACCAATAACAATAATAATAATAACTTTACCACACTATCTTACGTTAAAAGTCTTGGTCCACATAGACAGGATACAAGGTTTACACTAATAACAAGCTAGGGTAAAGTACTACTGGATAAGCACTGAAGCTGGATGTAGCTTAGGGTAGTGAGACCATGTGGTACCCTAATACAAAACACAACACTTAGGGTAAACAAAACACTGGCAAATACTAACCCCAGGTCTCACCAATAGTTACTACCAGAGTAGGTTCACTTAGTAATGCCCCGTACTTAGCTTAAGGATACAGGAACTTCAGGCAAGGGAAATAAGTAAGAGGAGAAGGAAGGAGAGTAGGGGAGCAGCCACAGAGTAGGTCTTATCCGCACGACACCAGCCAGAGAGAAGCCCGAGCTAGCCACCAGCTGCCTCCCTCATGTCGTGGTGCCGGGAGGAGCCTAATTGATCGTGCAGCTAAGCACATTAAAGATCTTCCCCTATGCAACGTATTGTTACTTTATGAATGATTAGAAAGTATTAGTAGGCAAAGTTGGTGCCTATGTTATTATTTAATAATCAACCCCCAGCTCAGTCTTTAAATGCTCTTTGAGAAACAATAATAGTCTTACGTCTGGCAGGGAAGATACAAACAATTGCTATTCTAGATGCCCAACTGTACTACCAGGAAGTTTAATAGCTCAATTTTGACCTCTGGTTTCCACTGGAGAACCCAGGGTCGTAACAGTAATAAACGAAGTTTTCTGTCATCATAAAGACATAAATATAAGCTGCATGTTAATACTTTGGCATAAATATAACTGAAGTGAAAGTGAAGATATATGCCTTTTTATAGTTACTTGATGGCTCGCTCAGGGAGTGTGAAGGCCTCCACACAAGCCAATCAATTTTATAATTGTAGCGAGTAGATTATCCCAATAATATACTCGCTCCAAAATATAGTGTTAATATTCCTGTCAACCTTTGGAGATGAATGAGGTGAGGCGTTGCCCGGGCAACACGGTGAGGTGTTGCCCGAGCAATATAAGCAGCAAGAATAGCAAACATTAACTAGTCTACTTTCAAGTGTGGTCTAGAGCAGACACTTGCGAGATACTGTACCGACGCTCAGTGCGCTCAACTCACACCAAAGTATCACCGGTGTACTTCTGTATATTCGACCAAATATATATATAGTATCTTAGTGTCTGTGTTTGTCACCATACTTTACGTAACAATAGAACCGTTACATTGGTGACCCCAGAGAGTTTCGACGATACCCTGCCACGATGGACTACAACATGGACTCTCACTGGACCTCCGCGCCACTGCTGCTGCTTAATTGCTGTGGACCGCAGCCACCTGTCATGGAATGTTGCCAACACCCTTGCCACAGCTATGATTTTCATCGCGATCGTCTCTGCATTTTCATCTACTACTACGGCTTGCTGCTCCACGATCACTACTCTGGCAGCTTCATCAGTAACTACATAATGTGTGATCTACAGCCTGTCCTGCCGACTCTTCGTCGCCTCCAGGACAATTCAGCTTTAGCAGTGATTACCTCGTTGTCCTAACTACGTGCCTACATTACCTCCTAATGTCCTGGTGCCCGAGCCCATCCGCCCCGGATCTAAATGCTCCACCAGCGACCCAAGGACGCAACAATTATGCACATTCTTCTCTCCTGCTACACCGAGCTTGTCCACACAC